CGATGTCAATGCCCTCCCTCAGCAACGAACATGAACGTGACAATGAACACAACCGCCATTTGTTTCGCATCTCTAGCCCAAGTAGGAGCCAAACGAACGTCACCTTCTTGGTACGTTACTCATGACACAGCGTGACCTATGGAGAGGGGGATGGTTTCGCCGTGCTGAGCCAGTGCGTAATCGGGGCGGAAGGAGGGCTGAAAGTGGTCCAAAATACACACCGTAATTTTGTGGACGGCCGCATAAAATCGCTGCGGTAACGCTGTCCAAGCAGAGCCATCTAGATGCGGCTGACAAAAGCACCGTTTCACCATCGCCGTAATGGCCACCGCGGTCTCTCTCTCTAATTGTTATGCATCGCAAAATTAGCTGAATTCATTTAAATATTTCGATGAATTCTCCTGCGTGAGTGAAAAGGTGCTTGCATCACCGTCCAGTGTTATATAATTGCTCCTGGCACATTCGTCAACAACCCCGCTGATCTTCTTACAACTCCATATTAATGTGGACTTTTCGAGTTGTCGCTCATCCGGAATACCGCTACGCATCACATTTCAAGGTTTCGGCGGGCTAAGGGGAATACTCGTTCTGCCCTTGCTGCCATGCAGCGATCCGGCGCCTCGGTCTCGGACAGAGCTGCGCCGACGGACGGACGCCCGGCGCGGCGAAGAAACCAACTTGCCCTCTGTCGCTCCGTCGTCCTGCCGCCATTGGGCACTGCATGCATGGTATATTGCCAGCATTGTTGTGCTCCAAGCATATTTTGTACTACTGTTTGGGTTATGCACGATCGCATGGTACGATGAGTTGATTTATCAAATATATATGATTGCAGCACTTGATTTCAGTTGTGCTCGTCACACACAGTAACTGTTATCAACGTAACGTATTTTAACCTCCCTTGCTTTTGATGCGCAGCGTAAGCTAGCTCAAGGTGGCTTTTTGACCGACTTTCAGCCAGAACAAGAGGTCAATTCCACACCTCGGGTTAAGGCCCGTCGAGGCAAAGAAAGGCATCGACCGCCCATTCAGCTTGGAGACTCATACAAAATGTGCCTGCCTTTCTCCAACAAATCATAAGCTTTCAGCGTGGGCGGCTTCACTGTTACCTCCGTTGCAATGTATTTGTTTTCCAGTCTTTCACGTTGGTGAGAGATTGCGCGGCAACGATACATCTCCGCCTTTCGCTGATGTGGGAAAACACAGCTTAGCTTTACACTGGTGTATGTCCTGGCAATTTTAATTTTCTGTTACCTCACAAGTTTGCGAGTTGATGTGAGCACAACAGGGAACACATCCGTACAAAAAAACAACTTGGTACCACAAGGCGTCTTAGCAACCAGGCTTTTATGACGCCCATAAAACAAGGTGTCATCTCCTGGCAGCTGTCGCCAGTTGACTCAGTGGCTGAGTCATTTTGCTTGAGTCAGGACTGGGGTTGACTCCCAGCTGTGCCCTGCCGCTCGTGATCAACCTTACGCGCAGCGTGTGCACATAAGAATCGATTTCGCCGTAGCTGATTCTCATGCCCGTGTGTGAACAGGTTGGCAACCACTTTATGGACTGAGCTTCCGGGCGCGCAACCTGCACCTGTCTGGCTACAATACCGGCCAACCCCCCCCCCCCCCCCCATCAGCTCTAATTCTATCAAATGTAAATGAATGGGCCCGTGACTGTGAGCAGTTCGTTTAGGAGTGATCGCGGAGACTTGATTTATACAGACGGCAGAACAAAGGTTTAGTTACTCCGGAATCCCCCCCCCCTCCGGTGTCCACGCGAGGGTATTTTGTAATGCAGTGCTGTCCGGTGCAGCTCCTGCAGCCACATAAGTGCTCATTTGCGAGTGCCTCGTGCTCGGGTCAGGGTAAAAATGTCAATCTCTGTTACCCTTGGACACGCATCCAAACGTGTCCGAAAACGAGCCGTTTTGCTTTGGAAAGCGGCCGCCACTCAAACCAATATATTTTGTAAGGTGGGGGCGTGACGTCAGATGGAGGTAAATAATCTCATTATCGGAGCGGACATTCCGGCAGTGGCACATTAAAACGTTATGAAACACAACGAGCAAATCAAAAGTAAGCTCAGCATAACCACTATTGAACAGCATCAGTGTTGTAAGATTATCCTCCATTTAAAAACACAAAAAAACACCAACCAGACGCTCAAAAAGCATGCAAAACCTTCTCGTCAGCCAAAGCACGACATCCACACATGCATGAAATTTCACTTGAGTTTTCAGTTCTTCCGCCGCATTAAAGCGAGCCCGCTCGTATCGAGAGACCTGGATAACAAGCGACAATCCGAGCTACGCGGACGTCCCCTTGGTGCGTGGCAGGGACTTGACGTCGCCTGCCACGCGCCGGCAGACGCCGTAGTAGTCTGCGCACCGACCCATCCGTCATGCTCTGCTGGTAGCCGGTCCGCTGGCCGTTCCGACCGCACGGCGCCGGTCCCACCCCTTCCTTCGCCCCCCCCCCCCGCCCCAACACCCTTCCCGTCCCGCCGAGTCCCTCCAGCTGCGACTCGGACTCCCCGGAGTCCCCGTATGGCACGTTCAGCGGTAACCGGCGGCGACCCGCCGGCGCCCGCGGCCCGACACATGTCGATCGGCCGGCGGTCGCGGCGCGGCCGGCGCTGCAGTCCCGTCCGACCGGCCGCGTCATAGCTCGTCGTCGAACTTGTGCAGGTTGGTGAGGTGCTCGCCGTAGTCGGTGGCCTCGCTGCCGACGAACACGTCGTGGTGCTCCAGCACCTCCTGGAAGCTGAGCGCGTCGTCCACGTCGTCGTCGGCCGACGCGAACAGGTGGTCCACCTCGTCGTCCGCGATCTCCCTGCGCGGAGGAATGTTTCAGCGTCAGAGCAGGTGGAGCATGGAGACTACAGCGCAGGTGTGGACGTTAGTCATCGTGCGCCCCATATCTAAAGTACAAACTGGATGTCCCATATGTCATAGCAATAGCCCTAAAATGCACACATTTATCCGCTGGCGGCACAGGAGTGCTTGCTAAGTCGGGACACTTGACCTACAAAGGGCCGCATGTCTAGTGCACGCACTACTTGCCGTCGAAAAAGGCAAGAAGTCCTCCGCCCAAGTAAGACAATAATGTATCATGTTATGGGAACAAATTTCCGATCTTCTAACAAAGTTACCGCTTTCGAGTCCTTTAAGTGTGCTTCCGCATCTATAGACGTGCGCAGGCTCAGGAAGTTTCCTTGATTTCGTTGGTTCAATGGATGCAGTAGGGCGTACCGACGCATGGGCAACCTCATGATTCTTCTCTGATTTCATTGGTTCATTTGGTGCAGTAGGGCACATCGACACATGGCTAAATTCATGACTCTACTCTGATTTCGTTGGTTCATTTGGTGCAGTAAGGCATACCGACGTATGACCAAGTTCATGATTCTACCCTGCTTTTGTTGGTACATTGGGTGCAGTAGGGCGTATCGACGCACTAAGTACATGTTTCCACTACATCTACAGTCATAATAAATACAAGCGTCGGGCGTGCCTCTTCGTGAAAACTGCTCCACGTACCAACTCGCTCAACGTGCCGCGCGGGTTCGCCCTGTGGTATTACAAGGCAGCGTAAGAGTGGTTGTACAACCATCAATCATCACTATTAAAGAGCGAGCGCTTTGCGCTTTGCACCTGCGGCACTTTGGCTCCAATTTGAGTGCCTGAAACGTTAGCGACCATGCCCTAGTCTCCGTGAAAACCTCGCATCGCAAAATTGATAAAGTCCCCTGCGCTTTGAGGTGCATGCATTTCAATCACCTCTTATAAAATTGACTAATCTGCTATTGATCGCGCTTTGTGCGGTAGCTGACTGCATCGAAGACCAGAAGAGCTGTTTGGTTGTGGCTGGTTGGTGACGGCACGGTGACACAGCGCCCACCGGAAGAAGAGTCGGTGGCACTCATTTCCGGCGTTCGTGGTCATGCGATGGGTAGGGAAAGACACGAGAAAAGGAAGGAAAAGGAGACAATACACGTATTCAACCAGTGCGATGTGGGTTAAAAACCACTCAACCCCCATATTCCCGCCAGGTAGCAGCACCAGCGTCGAACTGGCGTGGAGGGTTTTAAACCGCCAGCGTAGCACTGACAGTGGCTGGGTACGTGAGTCGCATCCTACCCACTCCATACCCTCTCTCCCTTACCCACTTCTACTCCCCAGCATGCTGATGAACGCCGAAAATGCGAGTCCCCAACGCTTATTATTTTGATGTTCGCTACAACCAGCTCTACGAAATCCGTTTCAGGAAGGCAATCCATGTAGGTCGCCGTTTATGGTGTATACGCGACTTGCAATCGAACAAGGTGCCACTTAACCTTGGCTGTCATCGAACAGCTGGGTATACATTCAACTAAGAACGCGCCTGCGTGATCCACGCCTGGACAACAGCGATAGAATCAATTACAGCCTACTGGCCGGACAGATGACGGTAAAGATTACACACTGCCCACTCCTCGTCGAACGCCCTGGGGTTGAGCATATTGCTGTCCACGCCTCAGTATTACACACAATACCATACGCATACCGAAATGCAGCAGGTAATGACATACCGAAATGGTATGTAGATACATTCTTAAAACCATCCAAACTCTCTAAGTTGTATTGCCTTGATGGCATGTGACGAGGAGGGGCGTTCGAAATTTGCTGTCGCCAACCCACATGCATTCACTTGCCGCCAGACTGCTGGGTCTACCCTTACGAACTGAGGGCACACACGGAGTAAGTTACCCCGTCACGATGCGCAAACGACGGGGCTGAGTGGATGTTTAAGGAAACTACCGGCGTGGGAACGGGTATTCGGGTAACCCACCCAAGTCGATAGGACCAGCATGTCAACTCGGCGCCGACGACTCATCGGACAGGTGTCGCCTCAGGTGAGACTACAAGGTGGCACACGCACAACATATCGGACAGGTGTCGCCTCAGGTGAGACTACAAGGTGGCACACGCACGACACATCGGACAGGTGTCGCCTCAGGTAGGGGACTGCACAGCGGTACACACACGACTCATCGGACAGGTGTCGCCTCAGGTAGGGGACTGCACAGCGGTACACACACGACTCATCGGACAGGCGTCGCCTCAGGTAGGGACCACACAGACGTACACACACGAGATATCCACCTAGTGCCAGCCTGTTTGCCTCCACTTTTTGGACAACCGTCCCAACATGACTCTAAAGATCCGTTCCCGAAGTTGTCTTTCGATAACGTACCGGTTTCATACTTGGCAAGTAAAAAAAAATCACCCTACGGACGCGCTCTTAATTGCTGGTGGATTTGCATATATTTCAGTACGCAGTAAGCCCATTCATAGCAATGGTTACACCGTGCGAAAAGCACATCGGTTTGACCCAGACGTCAGTCTTCGCGATGTGGGGAGACGCTTCACGCGAGCACGAAGAGGGTTATCAAGGATGGGGGTGCGAAGGATGCTGACCAAGTCTCCACGGCAACGCTTCCCGGAACTCATACTCGCTGTGCACTGATGCGCCAACAGTAGCAACAAGTGGCAACCGTTTCACGTGACAAAAGTTATAATCTTATATTACCTGCGGCTAGAAACGCAATTCACACTTGGTGTATTCGGTTCTTCACTTCATCGATAAATCCACGGCTTTCTTTGGGTGAGGGTTTACATGAAGACAGGTACACGAGGGGGTATTTGATGCCTGTTTGGACAGATTATTTGGTTCGTCGACGAATCATTCACTTGGAGGACCTGTGCCATTCGCTAAGATTATCGTGTGACATCAAATGTTGCACCGCGCAGCACTGCATACCACGGCTGCAAATGAGCCGGGTAAATCCATAAAGCAGCTGGATCATATTCCACAAATGAAGATGTAATGCGTGAAAGGCATGCACTTCTTATCTTAAAAATGCTGTTTTGATTGGCAGAGCTAGAGAACGGCAGCGCTTACTTAAAGGGTATGTTGTACATCTAAAGATACTGAAGCAAGCATTAGATATGATGAAACAAGTTCACTCATAACTATTGGTGTACTTTTTAAGTGGAAAAGACTGCTCTAGATAGCACGATTCTTTGTTACGTAAATCTGCTCCCCGATGCGTCATAGTTTGCTTGTCATCGTACCTTGCACAACACTGATTTAGAGCAAATCGACGGTCGTTTTATCTGGGCATCGCGCTCACGAACGCCAGCTATAAACGCCTCGAAAATTATATTTTTGTTGACCTTGATCGCCACATGGCTTACGGAATGACAGGATTCAAATGACGTTATCATGAGTCACGAATGACAATTCATAACATCATTCCAATATGACGTGACTTAAATGCTCTCCCCGATATGCCTTTCCCATTTACGCGGGCGGGTAGCTAATGAACCAGGGGGCTTAGGTCTTAGGAAAAGCATGCTTGTGACCAACACCGAAGGCCTCGAAGATGGCATCTCGGTTCAAAATCCCGTGGAACGTGGAACACTCCCCTTGAGACTGGTCCACTTATCTATATGTTATCATCAATTAATCTGCAACTAGCCCAAAATAGTGGAACACATTGAGCGAAAAATGCTATGTACCTACAGAGCACACATTCAAGTCAGTTGCCGACGGCAGGTGCATGTACCACCGGACTCCTGGCTCCCATAAACAGACGGCGACGCGATGCTGGCGTCATCAACCATCGGCCATCTGACAGACAAACTCTGTGCCGTAGGAGTTGGCTGGGGAGAGCAGATACTCAGCCAGCGATAAAAATAAGCTCAAGGTGATCCAATAACTGTGCGACGCCTGGCGCCTGCCGGCTGACAGCTGTCCGCCACGGCCGCGTAGGCCGAGGCCACGCTGGAGACAGGCGGGATGTGGGGCGATCAGAAGCTGGCACGGATGAGGAGACCGCGCGGAGATGCTCCGTGTCTCATCACGACACCGAATAAAGGACACAGGAGACCGCGCAGAGATGCTCCGTGTCTCATCACCACACCAAATAAACGACACAGGAGGCGTCTGAGACGGACGAAGCGGCTGGAACGTGCAGCGACAGGAACAAACGGAGCACGATGATTCGCGTTGCACGGCCGGGCCGATTACTCCACCCTCCAGCCTCCGCTGCATACGTAGAGGACATTGCCACGGATGGACAGACAGCACCACGGAGGCACGAGCGCTGACGCCGCCGCGCGCCGGCACGACAGCGCGTCCGGGCGGTGGCGAGCACGAGCGCGGCGCGGTCAGGCCTGTAGCAGCCACCGCCAGCCCACCACTCACGTGTTGGAGGGCAACACCCAGGCCTGCACTTCGTCCCGGTCCAGGCGGCCGTCGCGGTCCTTGTCGTAGTCGCTGTCGAACTTGTCCTTTTCCGCCTCCAGCCAGGCCTGGTCCTTGTCCTTGGCTGCAGGCGAGCACACCGAGCCGGTCAGACACGGCGCGCGGCTCAGCAGGGGCGCGGCTGACCGCGACAGGCAGACCCGGACGACACCGCTGACCGTACGAGGTAAACTCTGGCACAGGCTCCCCGACGCAGTCAAGGACCACAACCAGGTGCAACTCACACCCACATGGCTTCTAGGCTAAAGGAATGCCTTTTTGGTGGCTACAATACAGAAACCTTATTCAAACCACCGGGATCCCGGATACCAATGGCCGTGAGACAGGCAAACCTTACATCAAAACAATTCGTAAGCGGCAGCCGTCCGCCTGACCACGCCGCCGAAAGCTTACCCTGCTCGCCCACGAACTCCTGGAAGCTGATGTAGCCGTCCTTGTCGAGGTCCTTTTCCAGCAAGGTGTGGTCCACCACCACGGGGATCATGCGCGGGTCCTCCTCCGGGTGCGAGAACGACAGGAACTCGGAGCGCTGCAGCGCGCCGTCGCCATCCCGGTCCGCCGCCAGGAACAGCCGCCGGTCCTCGCTCATCAGCTGCGGCAGACGTGGCGCGTGTTACACCGAGCGGGGTGGACGTGGCGCATGTTACGCTGAGCAGCGGCAGACGTCGCGCGTGTTACACCGAGCAGCGGCGGACGTGGCGCTGGTCACAACGAGCAGCGGGCGACGTGGCGCGTGTTACACCGAGCAGCGACCGACATGGTGTCGGCCACACCGAGCGGCGGCGGACATGGTGTCGGCCACACCGAGCGGCGGCCGACGTAGCGCGTGATACACCGAGCAGCGGCCGTCATGGTGCCGGCCACACCGAGCGGCGGCCGACGCGGCAGTGGTCCCAAGGTCAGTTGCGGCCAGTTACAGCGACCGATTGCGCTGCAGTACTGGTTCGGAATCAGATGCGTCGGGACGGGAAGACGTGACACAGAGCCAAAGACGCCAACTGCAGACTGTTGACGTTGTTGACAAATGCGGACAGAAACGAAAAATGCAGACATGGTCGTCGCGCCACGAAAGACAAGAGAAGAAGCAAGAGGACAAGAAGGGTATCTCATACATTGTTATGAAGTTTGTTGAAGGCGGCATATCAATTAAAAATTATAGATGCAAACAGCATGCCTACCCACGTCAGCTCGTGGGAATTTGTCATGTCAAGCTTGTCGACAATGACGCCATATGTTGACATGAGGGCAGATCACTTTTGACTATTCCTTGCGCTTCCGACAGAACGTGAGGGCTGCATGACCTACAGCAGTCGATGCGCCCTAAAACCTCCGACAGAACGTGAGGCATTGTGGAGAAGTTTTCAGGTTTTGAAAGATGCTGACATGCTACAGGACATGCTCAGTTTGCCCTCCGGACCTACGACAGTAGTCGCCGCGCGCTGCGCCTGTCCTACGCCCGTAAGGTAGTACCCTCGGGTAGGGCCCTACGTCCGTAGGGTGGGACGGGGACAGAGATTATGAAGGGGCGGGGCTGGAGCTCGACAACAGGGAATCCTTGACGGCAGAAACACAACTGCGTTCGCTCATTGTTCGAGCTAAGGAGCGGGCAGCGGTCGAGCACGGAAGAGCAGCGCGGCTCGGGCAGAACACCACCGATACCGGGTGGGCAAGTGGATATTCGGAGTAAGCTACCGCTTTTTAAGGACGCGCCGACTCCTGAGGTCATTTTGCGCCCATGACGATTTGTTTACCTCATTACTTAAAAGTGAGGTGGGTGCGGTGTTATAAGTATCTTTAAGTCATCACTATATATCACAACCAAAAGCAGCTGTACTCATTCCAAAAAGCCAGAGCTGTCATGGTCTTATCAGGGTCGTGTGTCGGCTATGGAGCATGAGAGTCGAAGTATCGCAATTGTTCCTCTGCGCAGTGTGGACACGAAAATGGCACGTGGCGAACTGTGACGTAAGCTCCACAATCGACACCAGGGAGGCCTGCTGGCGGGGTACGACAAAAAAATTGTGGGTAGCATGGCGGTCCGTTAGGTGCAAAGCCTTCTCGCCCGCTGCGATGAAACAAAACACTTCGGTAGTGCTAGCAACGAACACGAACGGGTGAAGACACCACCAAAAAATGTGTGACTCAAATCGTTGGTGGCTTTGAATCCATCTGTGCACGCGACCGCGTGCCCCTCAAATGCCGCCAAAAGTTCGACCGCCCTGGATCTGGACAAAGCTGGCACGACGCCAATCTCCCAGAGGGCCGGACGGTAGCGCCTCCCCGTAGAATCCTTTGGCTCTCTTCCAGGGTGAGCCACGCCGGAGAAATCCCGACCACGCGCTACGTCTCAGCCTGGAGCTGCCAGGGGCCACAAGCGGGCCGACTCCATAGCTGAGAGAAAGACGGCGCCGGAGACACTGTCCTCCTAGTCCCGGACCGGGACTAGGGCAGTCCCTGGTCAGTCCCGGACCGGGACTACACCATATGGTCTGACAGATCGTTCAAAGTCGGCACAAGATGAGGAGATGCAGCCCTGTCTGCCTCGGTGCAGGAGTCCTGCCGCGGGGGACGCCCCTCATTGTCTGGCCGCAGACGGAGCTGCGTGCCACAGCGCGAGGGTCGAGCAGAAGGCCGAGGGGAAGCTGCAACAGCCATCACGAGGATTCCCAGCTCTCGAGCTCTGCCATCCAGGAGATACTGCCGTGTACAGACCCTACTGTCTGCACTGCAGCCCCTCAGTCAGGGCTCCGACTAACAGCGTAAGGCCCTCGCCCTCAACACATATTCTCTCCTACGCAGGACCGCAGACCGAGGCGGGCGGACCACTCTCTCCAGCAGGCTCCGCGTCACTGGCCCGGGCCAACACGAGGACGCTGGCCACGTGGCCAACAGAGCTGCTGAGACCCGACGCGCCCCGCCAACTTCACCAGCGCCAACGCCGTCACTCGACACCACACAAAACAACTTGACTGAATCCACGCAGGCCGACAGTCAAAGCCGCCGCCTTCCCGAACCATGGAGGCCTGACAAAACGGGACTAGTCCGGTCTTGTCCAAACGAGGATCCAGCCAGGTGGTGCCGACAAGCGTCACCTTGCATTGCATCGAGCTGGTCGCAGACCAAACCATGGAGGGGTGCGGTGGGGAGGATGACGTGGGAAGCTTTCCCGCGAGCAACCCTCTACACCATTGAGTGAAGCACCGAATCTGGGACACCTGTTCAACCATCGGACTGATGGTCTCGGGACTGGCCCATCACGTGACCGAATCTGTATGGCGTGAGGGCCAGACGAACCCCCCGTCGACCTGACCCGCCCGCTGTGCCGAGGACGCCGGCGCATGACGTGCGGCGAAGGAGAGTAATCGTCCGGACACGACACAGCCATGTGGAAAGAACACCAGACATGCAGCTAAAAACATTCTTTGGCATTATGACGTACTTGCATAAAGTCCTCCAACTCATGCACGCGTGGCACACAATGTCCTCACCCGTACCTTATACCCCCCCGCCCCAAATGCTTATCACACAGTTCGTTGGCGTTTTTCTCCCCACCCCAATGTGTCACCTTGTCCTCCTCCTCCTTGTCGTCGGCGCTCAGTTCATCATCGTCGTCGTCGTCCTTGGAGCCGTAGGTCTCGGCGGCGTACTCCTTCCAGGTGATCTGATCGTCGCTGTCCTCGTCCACCTCCTCCCAGCGCTCGGCCGACTCCTCCTCCGACAGCAGTCTGGCGGAGGGCGGGAGGGCGTGATAGGGACGGCGCTACATCTGAGACGGTGCAATCCAGTCAATGTGACTCGTTTTCTCTGACAATAGAGTGTACCACTTGTCCGCTGACTTTCATAATTTAAAACCCAAAACATCACATAGTGGCGCGGAAACTTCACCATATACTGGTGATGGAATATACTGGTGGTGCATTTTAAGTAAATGATACCGAGCAAACGCAAAATGAGCTGCTACAAGCTTTCACACGTAACCAGCTAAATTATCATCTGTAAAACACGCTAGACCACGGCATGTGGCGAATTTCACATCTCTGAACTTCACCAAAACTATCGCGGGACGATGAAAGCCAGGCTCCGCTTACTTGAACGAGCGTAGTATCCACTGTTTCAGCTCCTCACGGCTTATCTGCTTGTCACCGTCCTTGTCCATCTTCTCCAACAGGACGCCCAGACGCTGTTTGGCTTCCTCAGGTTCCAGGTCATCAAACTCCTCTGCATCCTTGTGACTCCCTGGCCAGTTGACAGGGCGCTATGTTACAGGGTAACGACCGTCCACCAGTCGAGCTCCCCACCGCTCTTACTAATCACGGACCAATGTGTGTGTAACAGCCTCTCCCAAAAATATGCCTCTTGCCAACGAATTCCATTACGGCCTCGCACTTCCTCCGTGACAAGTGATAAACACGTGACAAACAGATATCATGTGGAAAAACAGACAGACTACTTCTCCACAGTGTCATTGCTTGACTGTGCACTGTTGTCATTTAGCTTTATCGGCAAAGAACTGCCTGCGTGAAGCAAATGCCAAGATGGAATCCGAATAACAACATGAGGATTAAACAATGCAGCAGCAAAGCTGTAGAGGGGCGAGTTGAATTACTCTGTCTGGTTCAGAAAGTGCACACCACAAAAAAGAGCTTAGCCAGTGCAAGCAGCCAACAGCCCGCGGCCCCAGTGCGTATCTGGGCATCTGGCATCAGACGAGCGGCCGATCGGCTGTTCTGCGACACGAGAGGCAGTGCCTCCTCTCCAGCCGGCGCGCCCCGCGACGGCCGACCGGGCGGCAGCAGTCGCTCACCCAGGATGGCCTCGTGGTCGAACTGGTCGTCATGCTCGTCGTCCTCCAGGTGGTGTTTGTCGCGCGGGCTGAAGGCGCCGTCGGCCTCGCGCTCGTGCTGGCCCACGTGTCGGTGGCTGACGGCTGCCTCGGCCGACAGGCAGAGCAGCAGGCTCACCGCCAGACCCAGCCGCATGGTGCCGAGCTGGGGACGGCACCAGTCCACTGCTCATGGTCATGACAGGCTGCATCCCCATGCTGGAGCCTAAATCCGGTCAGAGCCTCAGCAACAGAGTTGCAAAGTTCAGCCATTTGAATGTCAAGGATAACAATACTTTTCATGTTGTTGCACACACATCTCAGTCCCATTAGTTGTTGCTCTTCTGCCAGCTTAGGATCAACCAATCAGTATCACACTGGAAAGTGTTCAATCTGGCATCTATATCCATCAGATAATGCAAATCAGGCACACAGGCCAGCATGTGTGGGTTCAGAGTCACAAGGCAATGTATCACCAGCAAAGGAAGCATGGTAGAGGCAGAGATGGTGGAGGATGCAGAGGTTTGAACCATGAATTAACATGGTCCTCTGAGTGACACTGCTGGACAATCCATACCAATGATGGCCATTCAAAGATTTGCTGATGATAAACACCTGGACCTATTTGTCATTTGTGTTCCTCACACAGTAACACTCTCGTTGATCTCTGCCACTAACAAACTTAACTGCTGTTGCAGTTGCATTATTTGCCATAAATTTATCAACCTACATGATGTTAGTGTCTTTTCATAGACAAACCAATTTTCTATTAAAAATGGGTAGATGGAAGCTTTTGAAGTTTTCAAATGGTTTGACAGTGTTCAGGGCAAGTAGAGGCATCTCTGCCATTACACTTTACTAGCTGCAGACTGACATACACAAGCTGGTTGGGTGATCTGCACCATACCAAATGCAATTCAACTTTGGTGAGTGTAGGATCATGTGTATGGATAGATTACATTATTGAGTATGTATACATATAAACATGCATACATGTGCACATACACACACATATGTATATATATATATATATATATAAAATATGTATATACATATATATATATATATATATCACACAGTGAAAAAAGTAAAGAAAGAAACCCGGTGTGATATTGTTAAAATTAAGCCAGCAGGATTAGAGCAGCCTATAGGTACAATGAAAACATCCTTAAGAATGATTGAGGTCACTAATAGCAATGTAACATACTAAGTTAAAGGAGCCATTAACAGAAACCATTGTGCATATGACATATGTGAAACAACACACTGAGTACTGTATACAGGGCAGGATCCAACTTACAAAAAGTAATGCTAAGTTTAGAGAGGGCAAAATGGGGCCATGAAGTGGTCAATGGTCTGGGAGATTTGTCTTTAGAATAGAGATTCATGAAATTAAATATATTTATAATAAAATGTAGAATGCTTAAAGAAGACATCAGTCTGAACTCAATGTTACTGGACAAGAGAAATGTACTGTTAAACTGGTATCTTTCCTGCTGCAAGTTTCAGCCTTCAAGAATGCAACATTGCTCATTTACAATTGAGGTCATTTAATTCATGTTGGAAAAAAGCCCATGATCCAGGTGACAAGTACTGGTAATGGCACATCTGTGTACATGACAACTCAAGCCTATCATAGTCTGACAGCTGCAGTGTGGGAGACTGATGCAAATGTGGAAAATGGTCCCAAACTATGATTGGCATTAATGCTTGTTATCTGCAGCCTTCTTTCTTGCACACATTGCATCCATGCTAGCTAAAAAGAGTCACGCATGTATGTATACATTACATTTTTGACAGTAAGCATGTATTATGTGCATGAAAAAGTACACACAGGCACAAAAGATGTGAGACAGGTAGGCAAATAAAGAGCATTCAATGCTGTTTAAAGACGTGCAGGAAACTTCACATATTCTGTGTAATGCCAAACTGGGTTTTCAGAGAAAGCTTTTGAGAATGTCCCGATCCCGCATCCTCGAGTTCCTACAAACACCCCTGATTGAGGGCTACTACGCCACTGTGGGTCACAGAATACCCCTCAATCACCACCATGACCATGCAAATACTTATAATATCGTGTACTCACCTACCCGCCGCAGACACAGCCCAACACCCTACAATTACCGACAATTATCTAGCAAATCACCTAGAGCCAACTCGCCGCACATCTGCTCAGGGCTGAAGATGTCAAGGCCCTAGAATAAAGAAAACCCGTCGCGAATCGTCGGCTTGATCGTCACTTTCGCCGGTGTGTGACGATCCTGGCGCGATCGGATTTAGCTTCCAGTGCAATAATATGCAAGCTGTGACTACTAAAATGCTACCGTTATTGAATGTTGTGTAATTAAAGACACTGCAATATGCTTGTTCTTGTCAAGCTCTTGCTGGCTTAACAAAATTGATGTAATTTTTCCCTCAACATCTTCCTTTTTCCTCGTAAACATAAAAAATTGTGTCCAAAACTAATGCTCGTAAGATACATGTGCGCACGTAGCCAGCTAGCGAGGATGAATAAAGGGGCCTGACCCCGACTGCTCCGGTCCCGGCCAAAACGATAAAATTCCTCGAGGGGATCGTATTAGCTCCGCAACAAGGTTGCATAATCAACAGTGAGACCATGGTCCGACGAGCGCGCGATCATGCGGTTGCGTGGATAGATGCATGTCACGCGAGCCCGAACATCTCTGATGCGGGCCGCGCGAGGCGGCCTAGTGTCAAGCGAGGCGATGCCAGATCATGTGGCCTCTTCCGGCGATATGCCAGGGTCGGCTCTAGCAGAGAAGCGAGGCTAGAGCGGACCGAACCCTCACACATCCCTCTACCACGGAAACAGGATACATAGAGACAATGTACAATGACGGCTTATTTTTTCCATCAATGGACACGGTCAACGACGGTTTCACTGTGACTGGCGGGACCACGTTGGAAACGGTGGTTCAGTAGTCGCCTCGTTGTTCGTGCTCGCTTGCGATCCGCTGTCGATCAGGTTCTCGGCAGCAGCCGCCGTTCAGGAGGTCGTCGAGCTTGGGCTGGACGTCGCTGGCGGCCTGCCGTCATCTCAGATGGGGTGCAACAGAGCCGGCCGAACGTCATGTGGCGCGGCGTGCCCCTATCGGTGTCGGAGTTGGCGCCAGCTCCGGGTTAGTACTCGGACACTCAGAAGGCGAACAACGAAGGACATTGGGGCTCCTCGAGGCACTCAGCTGCAGAGGTTGCATGCCTCTCACCCTGGCAGGAAGGGCGTGCACCGCGGGGAATCGAGCCCTGTATCTCTGGTTTGGCACCATGGCTGCCGCTCCAGAATGATAACGTAGCCGTTCCAGCGACCTGTCCGAAGGTTCCAGATCGCCACGTGGCTGCCGGTGCCCCACTCCGGCAAGTCTTTGACGCGACGGTCGTGAACGGCTTTGACATGCTCCTGACAAACGGTGGCAGCTGCTTCCGTCTCGTCGGCTGCGCGTTGCCGCTGCGCAGCGAATGATCGCCGATGTACCGGCAGAGGGTCGTGGATTGGTCAGCCTACATCATCTGTGCTGGTGCTTGCACCATCAGCCTTCACCATCTGTGCTGGTGACAGACTGCTGGGTCAAGGAGTGTCGCGCTGCTGGAGGATGCCCCGTGTCCACCGCTCCGGATCCAGCTGGCCTGTGCGCTGATATCAGCACCGTCTGAGGAGCCTCCTCGCCGTCGCCACAGCGGCTTCCGACTTACCGTTCCCTTGCCGTTCCCTTGCAGAACTGCTGTTCCCCCCAGAGAGACTATCTCACCTGACCATGTTAAAAAACACGGTGAAAAAGACGATGGTTGTACAACCGGCCTATTGTTTCCGATGCAACATCCGTCCCCTGAGGGCAGGATGTCGTTCTATACAGCAGATGTCGTTCTATACAGCAGATGTCGTTCATGTTTCAGCCGTTTGAACGTCGTGACCGTCCTCAGCCAGTCGCCAACTGGCCTATCCACGTCATTTGGGCAGAACAGCGCGCTGGTTATGGGACCAGTGGTCAGTACCACTGACTTTCTACCCCAGCACTTTTTCGCTTTTTTAACCACTTTTCCGGGTAGGAAAAACCTGATTGCGATTTTCTCTGCACGTGCATGCCTTACGACCAGCTCTTGTAGAATAAAGGCGACCAGGTCCCAGGTCGGCTCTTTCGTAGCTGTTCGCGTCTAATGTGCTGGGACAGTTATCATGAACTAGCGGCACGGCGGCACCCTCCTCGTGTCACGCCGCGCTTTTGTCCCTGCCAGGCGGCTGCGGTGGTTCGCCAGCTTCCTCCGCGTGAGGGCTCGGAGGTGCGCTGGTGCGTCCGCGGCCCAGCGGCGCGGCGATGTCTTGCACGCGCTGTGAGGCGCACTCAGGTCTCTATCGCTGGAGAGCGCGGCTCCTGTCCGGCGGATCCCGTATCCCCTTTCCGACCCCGTGTCCCCTCGCCACGGGCGTCCCTGTTACGGTCGCCCCTCACCTCAGCAGGTCCGGCTGGTGACGACCGACAGGCCACCGCGAGGTGACTCACCTGCAGGCAGCGGTGCCATTCCTGATTGCACGCTGGGCGGTCAGTCGGGTGTCGGTGCGTCGGTTTGTTGATGCTAGTGCGGGGCTATCGAATACAAACAAACGCCTGGCATGACAATCGGCGCCACTTTGTTCCCAAGATTGACGTGACTTGCGCGTGACGGCTTTTTAGAAGGCAGAGTGAACAGAACAAGCCGTCTGAATGGAAGGCGGGCGGAATTCGAGCCAATTGAAAATCTGTTGGCAGCGTGTCGCACTTTATACCACCACTCGGCACTTACTGATATGATGATGCAGATACGTGTTTAGGAATTTAGTGGCAGTCGCCAGGGAGGTCAAATGTTGAAGAGAAAAAGTGAGCCAAAGTACGGCACCGTTTGACAAATATTAATAATCAATGTCACAGTGTGGTGTATGGCAGTTGTTTAGGGCGCCTACGCGCCAGGCAAGTGGAGTTGCGCGGGAGAGTTGGCCTTGGGTGGTGGCGCGCGGCGGGGGCGCGGCGTGTTCGGACGCCTCGGACGTTATATTATTGCTATTGTTGTTATTACCGAGGTATTGGGCAAATATTCACGGTAACACCTGACGTAGTGTTTGGTCGGGCTGTGAGAGCGGACGACACTACACAGAGTGAGACTGCGCGTGTTTGATAATCGTAGTGCAAGGCTATGGAGTGATGCCCACGCATAGGGCCGGGCCATTTTGTTCAGAAGACTGATTTGCCCTACGCCCGGCAGGCTTTTGGAGCTGGCCGTGCGCTCAGTCTTTATATTTAATGAAAAATTAAATCCTGTCAGTATACCGCACCTGCGTTTGGCGCCTGCCGAGAAAGCTGCGGTGAGAGGGATCTGTTTTAGGAAATCGGGTGGTGGCCTTCAGTTATGTCAAAGTTAAGATAAAAATCCTGTGCGTCAAGTACGGCACCGTTTTCAAGTATTTCTAATCGTAGGCGGAGAACGAGACCCTGCGCGTTTGATAGCACTAGTGCAGGGCCATCGAACGACATGCAGACATAGGGACAGGCCTGCGTCTGCACTTTTTTCAGCGACTATATGGTCCGTGCATGGAGCCGTATTAAAATGCCAGCGGCCACACGTCGCTTGCATATTTTTCAGCGTAGGACCAATATTGAGTTGTACATATTCGGTAGCTGCTGACAAATCTACGGTTTCGATTCATGGTCAGGATCGACGCGTGATTCACGTTAGTTATGTGACGTTAGTTATGTGACGAGGAACAGATATTCACTGAGCTTTCCGTTCAGGACCTACATATGACCTTTCTTCTGAACTTGCTCTGCTCATGACGTGTTATCAATCAATGAAACGGCCTCTCTCTTCCATTCATTAGCAACTTAACACAACTTCCTGACTACAAGTCGTATAAAAGCCGTACAATACATGAAAGGTGCATTTTTATAGGTGTAAAGGTTAGGTGTAAAGGTTAAAGGCGTATTTTTTCTGCCATTTCAAAGACAGCCCATGAAACTGAAGATAAAAAGTGCATGGAATTGCTGTCAATATATTCAACTAAGCATTAGGTGACGTCCCTGAAGCTCTGATTTCTCTGACACTTCTCGCTCATTCATAAACAATCTCTCCCGAATCCCACCCCGAGTCCTCTTCAGTCGATTTATATAGAGCTAACGCTGAGGGAATGCTGGTCAATAATCCCCAGCGATCGGTCCATGGAGGTTGTGCAACAAGGACTGGTTGCAGTTTGGCAGGTGGTACTTGAAACAGTTTTAGAATGCAGGGCGATGCGTGTGTTGTGTTTGCGTTCGTCCTCGTTTTCACTCGTTCAAAAAGTCAAAGTCCGTCTTCGAAAATCTCTTGTCGTAATTCCCAGCACCAGCCAATCTCCAATCTCAGCAACTCTCACCACACCCGCACCTTCTGGCCGCCATCCGCTAACCCCCAGCGGTGCGCGCACCCCCCCCCCCCCCCCCCCCCCGTGCTCACCGGAACTGCTCAGCTGATCACACAACTCCCCTGCCCGTCGGAACTGCTCAGCTGATCACACAACTCCCCTGCCCGCCGGAACTGCTCAGCTAAGCCCCGACCGTTACACATGAATAAAATCTGGTCACAACGTGGCATGGCCTATCTGCTTTTTAAAGCTGTTACGCCCCTGAATGAGACGTTGAGAGGCAACACTGAAGACTTCCTGGAGGCCATGGGACCCCAGAGGCTCCAACCGCTATATGTGCCGTAAAACTGTCGAAGAAGGGTGCTGCAGGGTTTAACTCTAAGGCATGGTGAAGAGGGTCGGTGCATGATTTAACTTCCAGGCATGGTGAACAGAGTTAGTGCAGGGTTTAATTCCCTGACATGGTGAAAGTGTAGAAAAAATTGTGAGTGGCACAACCCGCTTATAATAAAGTTGAAATGTGGCCTGCGTAAGCGTTGATGCATGTTCCTGCTCGTTTTGTTCTTTTTTGAGTTCACTGAAAAATCGACAAGGGCGGCGTGTCATGCTTACAAAGTGACAAAACTTTTCAAAATGAATGAGAGCGAAAACCACACTTCGCAGCAATTTTTAGCGTTTGTGTGCTTCACTTAAGCCTCAAAACTACTTTTGGCGTGCCATTTTAATCGTGTGCACACCGTACTGCAGTGTCAAATAATGCTTGGTTATTTAACGACGTACTCAGCTTGCGCGACCACTTAGCGTCGACACACCTCTCATGGCTATCCACGAGGCACAACGAAATAGCGGCAAGCGCAAGGTCCATCACACGTCTTCCCACACACCGTTGCTGACAGGTGCTCTAATCAACCGCGCTCAGCGCCGTCTCCGACGCAACAGCCGAGAAGCCAGTGATGCTTTGCGTTGTTCATGGGAACTGCTTTCAAAACGCAACAAAACTGAAAAAGTGGCATAAGTATTTAGGCTTTATTTCATTAATGACATCTACCTCACTTTGCATGTGCTACTAGAATGTTACTTGCTAATCGAGTGATATGCTGATATACAATCGGCTCCTGAGAGGTACATTTTCGCAGGCTCTGGATAGGTCACCAACATCGCCACCATTCACATCTCTTACAAAACACGGGTCACGTGCGCAGAGCGCGATGGCCATGCACAATGACGTCACACTTCCCTTGGCCGAGCACCCAGAAAGCACAGAAGTGGTACAGAACAGCGAGCTACATCGTGAGCACAAACATATACTCAGGACCCATGGGGGGCGGCAGGGGGGGGGGGGTATCGTGTGGGTCATGGTTCACCTGCCTTTTGCGCGGACTTTACATTAACGATAGAGTGGCGCATGGACGCGATTTATTTTAAAAGGGGTTCCGACCTACTCACTTCTTGAAGCTTCGCTGCGCCCACGATCACACGCACGCGTAATGACGTCAAACGGACAGATGCACCGCTCTGAAGCCGCAGCCGTAATAGACCGTGCTGATGTAGACTGTGTAGATACCTGAACAGACTGTGCGTCTGGCGTTGTCAGATACACACCCTCATCCGTGACCTGAAAACATCAGAACACCCTGAGGCACCGTCACATGACATCGCAGACTGAAGGACACTCGCACCTTTTGATAGGGCTCCCATCCATGGACAAATGTGTTATGGGATTGTGGACGACGATTGTTATCGCTATCGGCTGCTTTATGCCCATCACCATGGTGCGTGATGTATATAGCGTGATGTTTGGCCCTATTATCACGATACCAATCGCAGCACCGGAGCCAAATTAAAAGGTTTGTGCGTGTTTTCTTTCCGGAATGGAATGCAGTGATATGTATTTATTTCAGATGTAGATTGAGGACATTGAACAGAAGTCTCGGCCGCAGTGCATGCAATGCGCCTGATACCCGAAATGTCTGTCGCTACCGCTGGCACAACAGCAGGCACTGGTCCGTAGTGGCATGGTGGAGAAGACCATCGCGTGCGCCATTGACATGATGAGGCCGAGAAGATAACTCACATCTGGAGCGAGGTCTTTCCGCCGTTTGCAATCAGGACCAAGACCCATCTGCCGTCTGGACAGCGAGTCGTTATCTCACCTTGGTGCTGCATATCCTGTGGCCAGTGACGCTCTGGGTGGAGGCTACTCTGACGGGGTCTGCGCTCTGGGTGGAGGTTACTCTAACGGGGTCTGCGCTCTGAGTGGAGGTTACTCTAACGGGGTCTGCGCTCTGGGTGGAGGTTACTCTGACGGGGTCCGCGCTCTGGGTGGAGGTTAATATGACGGGGTCTGGGCTCTGGGTGGAGGTTGCTCTGACGGGGTCTGCGCTCTGGGTGGAGGTTACTCTGACGGGGTCCGCGCTCTGGGTGGAGGTTAATATGACGGGGTCTGGGCTCTGGGTGGAGGCTACTCTGACGGGGTCTGCGCTCTGGGTGGAGGTTACTCTGACGGGGTCTGCGCTCTGAGTGGAGGTTACTCTAACGGGGTCTGCGCTCTGGGTGGAGGTTACTCTAACGGGGTCTGCGCTCTGGGTGGAGGCTACTCTAACGGGGTCTGCGCTCTGGGTGGAGGTTACTCTAACGGGGTCTGCGCTCTGGGTGGAGGTTACTCTGACGGGGTCCGCGCTCTGGGTGGAGGTTAATATGACGGGGTCTGGGCTCTGGGTGGAGGTTGCTCTGACGGGGTCTGCGCTCTGGGTGGAGGTTAATCTGACGGGGTCTGCGCTCTGGGTGGCGGTTACTCTGACTGGGTCTGCGCTCTGGATGGAGGCTGCTCTGATGGGGTCTGCGCTCTGGATGGAGGTTATTCTGACGGGGTCTGCGCTCTGGGTGGAGGTTACTTTGACAGGGTCTGCGCTCTGGATCGATGGTTACTCTGACGGGATCTGCACTGCGATTGTCGGGATCGGAGCGACAACTGAAGCCCTGCAAACGCGCAGGCCACTTATCACGCACAGTCGGCCGTTGCAGTGAGACACAACTCTGGACAGCGTGACGTAACAGGCTGCGGCCATCACGGGCGACAAGGGCGGGACAAAGTCAGCAACAATGCCATGACGGGCGGAAACAATGTCATGACGTCTAGCATTCGTACCAGCAAAGATAAAACTGGTCCGTCCCTTGAGAGTCAGCGTGTGACGCTACAGCACACACGCGAGCCTTTCCGCTGTGAACAATCTGCACGTGACCCCAGCAACACTCACGCTGGTTTACCTCGGAGCGGACCGCACAACTTTAGCAGCAGTACGGGCGGGCACCGCCGGACCGCTTCTGCACGTACATGGGCAGTCGAGACCGAGGGCGTCCTGAGTGAGGCCAGGCGGCAGCCGCGGCAGGCTGGCCAACGACGTTAGGTCCAGCGGCGGCGGCAGCGCCGTTTCGCCGCCGCCCCAGCCACCAGCCGACAGCTCGGGAGAGTGGCCGGCGCCGACGAGCCGGGCCGTCGCGACAGCTCCGCTGACGCGACGTGAGCCGTCCGCCGGCGGCGCGGGTCGCGAGCAGTCGCCGCCGGCCAGCACCAGCAGCGGGCGCCAGCGGTGCACCGCCATGTGTGTTTTGAGGTTACCCTTGGTGGTGAAGGCGCGGCCGCAGATTCTGCAGCGGAACGGCCGCTCGCCCGTGTGCGTGCGGTAGTGCATCTGCAGCGCCGAGCGACACGAGAGCACGCGCTGGCAGACGACGCACTGGTTCGGTTCGGTGACCGTACTCTCGATCGTGTCCACCAGCTGCTGCAGCTTGGAGGTCTCGGAGGCGTGGGCCACCTCGATCAGCGCCTCCCACGAGTTGTCGGTGATGCCCGGCCGCGGCAGCAGTCTGGTGTACACGGCCGGCTCCCGGGCCGCATCACCGACGGCCGGTCCCGCCAGAGCCGGCCCGAAACAGCGCCGACGGAGTGTGCCTGGCGCTGGGACGGCCGGCTGGTCCAGAGGCTGAGTGGCAGGCAGGTGATGGCTGGCGGCGATTCTGAGGGGCGTGGGAACAGAGTCCCTGGGGAACAGGGGGGCAGATGGCGCTGGGGACCCCGTCGGAGAACAGTCAGACCGACCGCAGGCATCCATTGCTACTCTGGGGTGCGAGCCTTTATGAGAGCTTTCTTTCCTTCGCACATGCTTGTCCGGGTCACGCAGTGAATCACATGCTATCTCCGTGTTCGACCCTGGCCGCGGAGCCGTCTTTTCCAGTCCAACAAGTGGACAACCCCACGCCGCCTCTTCTGGGGGTTCTCGCTGCGCCGGTACCAGCCTTTCCCAGCCGCAGCGCTTCGTCGGCTTTTCGACAGCTGGCGTCCCAACGGCGGCTCGCTTGAGGCCAGCGGGCAGCAGTGACACCAGCGCCTCGAACGGCCGCCCACCGCTGGGCTCCGGCCGGATGACTCGCGAGAGCTGCTCGGCCGTCGCCTCCTCGTGCAAAGCGCGCGAGTAGAGTGGCGGCGGCCCGACCGGCGGCGGTGGTGGCCCGGTCGGCGGTCCCACCGGCTCCGGCAGCTCACCGAGCCGTGCCAGCAGCGGCGGATGCAGCTGGTCCAGGTGCTCTGGCACCAGCTCGGTGCTCATTGGCACGTGCGGGAAGCGCGCACTGTGACGCTGGAAATGCACCTTGAGGTTGCCCTTGGTGGTGAAACGGTTGCCGCAGATGTTGCACTTGTAGGGTCTCTCGCCGGTATGCGAGCGCACATGTATCTGCAGAGCCGAATCGCTTCCGAAAATCTTACCGCAGTAGTGACAGCGGCGCCTGAAGAGCGGCTCGTGTCGGTGCTCGCTGGTGCCGTGGACCAACGACCTGCCGCGCCGGCGCACGCCGCCCGCCTGGCCGCCCTCCATCAGGCCCCGGCACGCGCTCTCAAGCACCTGCTGAGTGCTCCTCTGGAGAAGCTGCAGCGCATTGACCCCCGGCGTAGGGCCAGCGTCACCTAAAGTGACAAGGCCGAGCCGCGGTGACGACGACACACTGGACGTCGGGGAAGGGAGTGCGGCGGGCGGCTTGGAGGCGGTCGAGATAGCGCGCGGAGAAGAGGGCATCTCGCTTTCGCTCACCACCTCCTGGACCGGTGCCAACGGCTCTGGCGGGCTGGATGGATACGGCGTGGGTGGCGGGGTGCGCTCGCCGCAGTGGACCTCCGCGGCCGCCGCTAGGGTCGCCCCCGTCGCCCCCGATGACTGCAGCTGCGCCCACAGCTGCTGGATCAGCTGCAGCCGCAGACCGCGGTGGTACCGAAGCGTGTGCAGTGCTGACTGCACCAGTGACAGCTCATCTAGCGTTTGAAGCCCGGCTGGACCGCATAGCGCCGCTGCGGCAGTCTGGCGAGACGCAATGAGGCCGCTCGCCTGCAGCGCCTCTGGTGGTAGTTGGTCGGACTTGACGTCCGTTGCAAGGCCACAAGGTGCCGTCCGCCATCGACAGGGGGCCGCGGACGGCGGCGGTATCATGCCATCTGTCTCGGTGAGGCGCCCCATGGCCGGCGACGACGGTCTACGATCCTTGACTGCCTCAGAGGCGCCTGGGCCTGCGGACAAAACGGCGACAGCTTAGACTAAGGCGGACAAAACATCCAGTCATGTCCCCGGTTACCTAAATAACACGTTGTAACGTAGCGAGACACATATTCAGTTACGGCATGGGTATTCCTTCGCTGTTGGGAACGCAAAGGCCTCATCCACTATCGCTGTAGCCTTCAATGATAAGCATCCACGTCATGCCGTTATTTCGAATGAGTGTTTGATCATGTTTTGCTTGGTATAGCTGAAAAGGGCCTTAATTCGCGCCAGACTACGGGGAGGAGACATTTTGCCCCCCCCCCCCCCCCCCGCCCTCCCCCGAAGGTTTTCAAGAATAATTTCTGGGCAAGTCAAACTTTGCCTAGCTGTGGGGAAAGCAGATCCTTGGATGCAAAAACTAAATGTATCTTGCGAGGTCACCAACCAATGGTAGGTCAAAGTCAGGCCGTGGTTGTCAGCGAAAGGCATTTCTAGGACATCGTTCAATGTAATGCTACAACAGAGTGTTAGGTGAAGCCATACATGCCTGAGATAGCTTGTTAGGTAATGAATCAATTTGATTTAGAATTGCAACAAATTCCATTAGCGAAGGGTCAGGTATGACGGTCAGACCAAGGTCAAAACTAATCTGTTGTTTTATTCGAGAGCTTCATTTATGGAGTAGTTTCTGGTGCTCATTTCTGAATTATTAACGGCAGGGACCGCAACAGACACGTTCCATAGACTTTTCAAAGTTTGAGCAAGTCGCTGACCTAAAATGACCCGGGTCCCTGAAGGTGATTTGGATGACAAAATAGGAGCAATGTCCTAGGTATTTGCTCACCCTGGGCTTATGAAGGTCAAACGAGGTCACCTACCTTAATTGAAGACCATTGCCTTCCGCTTAGAACAGATATCTAACTTGACGGCGGTTGCATGAGGAGGTCTGGGTGCACTTGAGACATCAATCTGGAGGCTGACCCGGTTGGGCCCTATTTGACCCCAAGGTCATGGCCTCTGAGTCCCAAATTTTGACACAAGTGAGTTCGCGTACAGGTCAACCCACCCTATGAATTGGTATATCTAGCTATGTTATATTTTTTGGATCTCAGAGGATTCAAACTGACCCCCCATCCGAGCGAAGCGTATTCAACTAGCCAATAAGGCGCGTGTTAAAGGGAATATTCCACATCTGAAGGTATTGAAGTAAGCATCAAATATGACGAAGCGTACTCGCTCATAACTATAGGTATGTTGTTGAATGAAAGAAACTGTTATATACAACGCAATTTCTTTATTTAGTACACATGCTCTTTAATGTCATTGTTTGATTGCGTCGTGGGAAGTTTGCATTACGTTGAGGTGGTGTCAAATAGATCCGTAAAATCGTCGCCGGCTCTCAAACCGGGAAATGACCGAGCACAGGGGCGTAGTTTTGCAAGATGAGTTGAGAGGAAGGCTGAACAGCAAAAATTGACTCAACCAACCCCTACAAAAATATCAACAGACGAGCTCCTCTCCTAATTTGGGCGTATCTCTTCTCGAAGTTGTGGGGGATGGAACCCAAGTTGGTGTGGGTTTGCTGGGACCGAGTAGGGATATGCTTCCGAAAATCTTTAAAAGTAAGCTCGTACCGCTCAAAGATTAGACTGGTAAGCATCTTTTTTTTACAATTTTGAGGCTGTCCTCTGCACAGACTGGCAGCAACAGCAACATGAAAGCTTTACTCTTCCAGTTCCACCACCAGATTCCAGCACTAATTTGTGATTCTGTATAAAAGCTCGTCCGTTTTTATCGTCAATCTAAAAATCGCGTAGGTGAAATATATACCCAACCTGCCCTTTAAAACTACGAATTATGTCTCAAACACCCTGACGATACTCCTTTCAAATACGTCATCATTTTCGACCGCCCGTTGACCAGCGCTGAGTGTTAGCCGAGGGGTCGGGGCGGAGCCGACGCCGCGCGGAGAGCGACTGCAGCGCCTCGCGTGGAGGCTTTCGTTGCTAAGATCAGCGAGCGCGCGTGTTCAAAACAGCGTTATACAATGTGGTGCCTGGAGCACAATGCTGTGACACGGCTGCCAGCGTTTCAGATTTGTTCCGTCGGCAAGTCACCGACTGATCGTCAAAGAAGAGCCGCACCAGCGAGTTTTCTGGGGTGCGAGCCTTAATGTCTGTCACATATTGGTCGGAGTTGTACCAAGCTCGAGCGACTGAGATGCACGATTTCGTTAACGTAATACGCACAACTACCAGCATGCTACTTCAACATAACTACCATAACATTACTACCAAATGGATCGCTAACGATATGCAAGGACGTAATATTAAAACATCTCTCCCGCTTCTCAAGTGCCAATTCACCCAGATTGCGTGTCTAATGGCCGTCATAATTTGGCAAATTGCGATTTCTACTCGCGGAAAGAACTCAATGGAAAGGGGCCGTGAACGAGGATCGGTGCCTCAGGACGAATTAACCACGATGTAGAGGAACTGAAATGCATCAGTGGATATTGCTCGAAATGTGCGTCTTTCTGCGAGAACTTCGCCGATTAAATCTAATCACCAGAACCGATACTTCATGTGAGCGTTAGGAATGCCGTTTGTCGGGCACGTTGCATGAAAAGTGTGAGCCGTTCTTGGCGCAGTCTTTTCGACATACCTCTTCGAACTTCTTGAAATAGCGCAATCCTGCCCTATATAATGAATCATGGTTCAGAACGAGACCGCGGGCCGAGATCGTTACCTATGGTCCACCAATACTCCAGCTTCAGCGGTAGCCTGATCCTGGTCCAGGATCCTGGAAGGGATCCAGGATCCAGTCCAGTCCTGGAAGGCTGCTCATCCTTTTGACGGCCTCTTACGTTGCAAGTCCTGTTGTCTCCAGCAACACTAACGACCGTCACTTGGAAGACGAGGAGGATGGGAACGGTAGAATCATTTGACATAACTGTGGGATGGTGTGTCCAGCAAGTCACGCCAGCTCGAGAGCAAGCCACAGACTTGCTGGTCTGAAGCCGTCTTTAATCCCCGTCTGGTCGGACTTCCCGTTACCCTTACTGCGGGTGAGCGAGGGCGGACTCCGCCTCTCCTTCCCTTACTCCGGGGGAACGAGGGCGGACTCCGCCTCCCCGGAGATCTTGGAAGCTACTGGGCCAATTAAAACAAACAAACGGTGTTTGACTTTACTCAGTAATGTCTGCATTTCAAGCGTAAATCTGAATAATCTATAATAAGGACAAAAAACGGCAAAAACCGGCATTCCCGCCGGTTTATGACATAGACGACACTTCAAGCTAGCTCACGCATTAGCTTGTCCATAAGATGAAAGCGAGATGACAATAAATGTGCCAAAATGACTTTTGTATCGAGAATGTGCAGAGCAAATGCGGTGGTAATTTCCTTCGTTATGAACATCCAGGTACACCCGAACTTTTGGACGTGCCGAACGAGGATCCTTTTGGTTCTGGTGAAAAACAAGGTAGAGTGGCGAGTAGATCATATTATCGTTGCATTGCAGCATATTGACAATTGGTGATATCATGTTGCCACAATGCTGTTATGCGCTGCAAACCAAGTATGGTGTCCGTCACAGGCACCATGGCGTGCATTGGTGAATGCACAAAAGTAAAATATGCAAACATTCCATTCTGGGCTTTCATGTTCCCCATGATATTGAGGCCAACTTACTCACATCCTTGGAGGTGCCTCTGAGCAATATCAGTGCTTCCCTTACTACAGTTTCACATATGGGATTATACTCCTACGCTGTTCATTCATTTCCCCGTACCGTTGGCGCATGTTTATGGCTATCCTCATTTTTACTCATTTTAGTTAAACCTATACGCGCTTTTATCACGGTAGATGTCAATAATTTGTGGTATTGTCTGGACTGTTAAGTTTTGCATCTATCTATCTATCTATCTATCTATCTATCTATCTATCTATCTATCTATCTATCTATCTATCTATCTATCTATCTATCTATCTATCTATCTATCTATCTATCTATCTATCTATCTATATATATATATATATATATATATATATATATATATATATATATATATACCAAAAGTATCCCTTAGGGATCGTCCATAAATCACGCCTCGCGTGGAGGAGGGGAGAGGCTTTTATATGGCGTAACGGAAATGTAACAAGTGAAAGACGGGTAGGTTTGACGCCTTGTTACACTTAGATTTAAAGGTGTATACTATTGGCTTGGCGTTATGACAAGGCACACCCGTTCTTTCTTTCCTATCTTAAAATAACCAGGTGCCAAACGGAGGCAATTTTTGGGACATTACGCTTAACGCAACGTGGCGGGGCGAAGTTGGGAGGGGAGGGGGCGGCCAGCGTAACCAGTGCGTTATCAGAAGTGTGGTTGAATGGAAAACAATGCCCAACGCTACCTATTTACGGTCCCTCGCATACCTGCAGTCAGAGGCGCACGCAGGATTTCGCGATTGGAGGGACACAGATCCAAACTTTGCACGAACACCAAGTTTAGCGCGCCGCCGAAGCACAGAGTGTGATGCATGACATGGAACAGCATCGCGTGCTCTTCATCTAGTCATTTTCACATGTCTACCCCGGATGTTTCGCGGTGATATTTTGTTGCGCGTGTATAATACATGTAAAAATGATAACGGAGGGGCACGCGCCCTTGGAGCTGCTTTGTGCACACGCTCCTACCCGCGTTGACCAACAATAATGCATTCCAATATTATATTTTTTTTGTTTTCTCCATTTGGAATATTTCTCTTTTCAAGCCACACTGGAACCAGGTCTGTTGTGATACGCTTCCTGCGTTGCAATAACTATACTTATGTCGTAACCGGTAGTCAGTCAGTTAGCGGAAGTATGCTTCTCTCGCAGACGCAACACAATGGGTATAATTCCTGGGATAGCACTATCTTGGCATGGTCGCCAAATTTCACCAGAGGCCCCCACCAAGCCGGATCTCGGAGCCACCGT